GCGTTTTGATCACGTGGCCGTGGGGATTGTGGCTACGACGTTCCTTACGGTCGTAAGTCCATTTGTCAGTGCCGTTGTCATTTCGATAACGGTCACTGAATGAACTCTGTGGTAAGTCGAGGACTCCCTGTATAATCCCCAGCTGGATTGTGGTCCAGTTGTCTCAGGATGCCCGTTGGCCAAACTTCCCTTGAAAAAAGAGCGAAGGGTCCGTACTCCAGGAGCCAGGGGTGTGGGGAGCCCTGGATCTGCTCAAATTCTCCCCCCCCCCAGCAGGTCCACTCATGCATCTGCTGTTGCCCATGAGGTGGTCCATGTCATTGGGTCCCTGATGCAGCTCCCCCAGACAGATCCTTGCTTCTTTCCAGGAAGTCTAGGGCAGCCGTGGAGATCATCTCTCCCCCATACCAAAGGTTCCCCTTGGGGAGGGGTCTGCCTTCTCTCCCTCCCTGGCTTCCCGTGTCCTTCCCCTCTTCCCCCAATCCTGGTCCTGGGGTGGAAACAATCAATGACAGATGGGAGACTCCACCACAACCCTCCAGGGGGGTTTGACCTCAACTCCCACCGTTCAGGGGGCTGGGGAAGATGGGTTCTGCCTCCTTACCCAGCTGGCTGGCAGACAGAGCTGCGTAAGCCACACATAGGGGCCCCAGAAGACGTCTGTGTGAAATGCGGGTCCCATGAGGGCGCTGGGGGGCTGGAGGCTAGGAGACCTCCAGGGGGCTCAGGCAAGGGGGGGGAGACTTTGGAATGACTTCTCCTCCTCTTCCTCCTCCAGGTGGACGAGCTGAAAAAGAAGCTGGCTCAGCAAGAGAAGGCCGGCCAGACCCATCAGCAGAAAGCAAAGGTGGGTGTCCAGCACAGGAACCCTTGCACACACCCTCCACCAGGCCTCAACCTCAGGCCCCCCCAAGAAGAAAGGCCCAGGGTGCATCCCACCTAGTCCTAGGCCTCACAGGGATTGGCTTGCACAATTTTATTTCACTCTTTAGTTCCACTCCACCCGTTGCTACGATGGGGCGGGCGGGCTTGCAAGCCAGGATTCTAAGGAAAGTCCGAGGTGAAGCCGTTCAACGCGAGAACACGGCAGCGGGGTTTTGACTAGCTTAAATAGCACCAGAACACCAGTGCAGATAAAAACATGACAAGATCCTGTCCGGGTCCTATCACCGGGACCAGAGGTTTAGCCTTCCGAGCTCTCTTGGTTCCTGCTCTAGCCCATCCCCAGGGATCTTCTCTCTACTTGAATATATGTTTTGGGGTATTCTATGCACAGTATATAATAATAATAATAATAATAATAATAATAATAATAATAATAATAATAATAATAATAATAATAATATAATAATAATAATAATAATAATAATAATAATAATAATAATAATAATAATAATAATAATAATAATAATAATAATAATAAAAAAGTTGGAAGAGACCTTGGAGGTCATCTAGTCCAACCCCCTGCTCAGGCAGGAAACCCTATACCATTTCGGACAAATGGCTGTCCAGTCTCTTCTTAAGAACTTCCAGTGTTGGAGCATTCACCGCTTCTGGAGGCAGGTGGTTCCACTGGTTAATTGTTCTCACTGTCAGGAAGTTTCTCTTTAGTTCTAGGTTGCTTCTCTCCTTGACTAGTTTCCATCCGTTGCTTCTTGTCCTGCCTTCAGGCACCTTGGAGAATAGCTTGACTCCCTCTTCTTTGTGGGCAGCCCCTGAGATACTGGAAGGCTGCTATCATGTCACCCCTCGTCCTTCTCTTCATTAAAGCAATTCCCCGGACACCTGGATGAATCAGTCTATCTAGACCCATACCAGTCGGGCTTCAGGCCGGGGCACAGCACGGAAACGGCATTGGTCGCGTTGGTTAATGATCTCTGGAGGGCCCGGGACAGGGGATATTCCTCTGTCCTTGTTCTTTTGGACCTCTCAGCGGCTTTTGATACCGTAGACCACGATATCATGCT